GCATTTTTGCAATGAAACATAAAAAAAAAAATGCATCATGACTTTTCTGACAACCCAATAGAATTTTGGGAAGTTCCTCATCAGTTAGAATTTCAAGTGTAAATCTTTATTAATATTGCTATAAGACTCAAAATCTTGTAAACTAAAGAGCATTTTTATTTTCTGCCTGGACTCTTCGTTTCAGTTTTAAATGTGATACTGTTAATTCCTTTTTTCTTTTGTCTCTATTTAGCTTCTTGCATTTTTGCTACCAGTTGTTTGCTAATCTGATTTCTTCTTGCTGCTGCTTCCACTACATCTATCTGCCTTAACACCCGGTCTACTTGGAGTTCAGTACCAACAACTCTGAACTGTGTAGGAGAAACAGATATCTATATTATCACTTTCCTTCAAACAGCTGCTCTTCACATGTGGTCCCTAACACTCCCTGATACCATTTCAAGGAGTCCTTGAAGCCAGAACCATTTTTATAATAATATTAAGGTGTTATTTGCCCTTTTCGCTCTCATTCTCTCATGATTGTACAGTGGAGTTTTCTTGAGGCCACATGATGTGTGATATCGTCACTCTAATAGCTAATAGAATGTGTGCTTGGGTATCGTTGTGTTTTAAAATTTTCTCAGTTTTATTTTCTAAAACAGTAAATATTGATAGATAAAATCCATATAAGCAACAGCTCTTTGGGTTCTTCAGTAATTTTTAAGATTATAAAGAAGTCCTGAGTACAGGAAGTTTGAGAACCACGAGAAACATGTGCAGTATCCTGGGTCACTGTGGTATAAACTAAAAGACAGAGGCGTGGATGAGTCATTTCCTCCCACTTAGTCCTAGAGCCCCTGAGAGATGTGGTTTGGGGGAGGCACCACAGGACAATGTCTGGGCAGTCCCTCTGGACTTGAAAATGCCTCAATACAGGTTCAAAGTACAATTACAGTAATTATTTGATGAACTGACTTTTCTGAGATCTAGCTCATATAATTATTAACAAAACAATCTCACTCCTCCATAGCTAAGGGAACTTGAGTGTTGAACTTACTCCCACATTTTATTTCCTAATACACCTTACTACTATAAACAGGTAAGCAAACTTCAAACTTAAAGAATGGTATTCCTTCTGGGCCACCAATTGCTAACTTCCAACTGAAGGACTAGTAGATATCTAGATAGGCAACCCAAGTTTTTTTCCTCTTTTAGGGTTGACTCACAACTGATAATGATATGAGTGTAAAT